TCATATCGTGACTGAAATGACCTCAGAATAGTCTACACGATAATCAGTATTACAACTTTACGCAATGCCGATTAAAGAAAGTGTATCAATCTTTCGCATATGTCGAAATATTGCATAATCAACGGCGTCTACTGTATATTCGCAAATTTTTGTCAAATATCAATCCCATAGTATACGATTACCGTTTGAATGGTGGTTCTGATTTACGATTAACATTTACCCACCTATGGGTGAAGAAAATGCAAAGGTTTCCGATAATGACGTTTGGTACCATCAAAAGTACCAACTGAAAATTAGGCTAGCAGCAAAATATGACACATCGTGGATTCGCGATATTTTAAACCCCGTAAATTTTCTCAACAGTTGAACTCAACCTCTCGTTACTTGAGCAACTCCCTTAAGATGTTTTCCATGGATAGAGATATTGAAAGGGGAGGAAGACTTCATATAAAGTCCACGCAGAGGGAAGACAGCTTTTGGAGTGATTTGTGTCTAACATACCTCGTGGCTGACCATTGTGTACGGATTGACAGCCACCTCATGCGGCAAATTGTTTTCCTTAACCAGGTGCTCGACTTCATTGGCCTCCCGTTTCATGTCGTCTAGTTCCTTTTCAGCGGCTGGCAGGGTTCGTTTGAATGCATCATGTCCAGCGATGAGTTGCTACAAGGTGGATAAATACATTCTCAGCAGATTCTTTTACTCCAGTTGATAAGAGCTGCCCAGCTGGTTAGCTTAGAGAGCTGAAGCCACCCTCGGTAGCGCAATCGAACTGGGCAGCGATTGCAAAAAACGTTTGGCTAGATGTTTCACAAAGGTGCAGTATTATACTAAAAGTACATTGGGATAGCGAGTCATTTTAAATTGATTTGAAAGGTGAAACGTTGATCAAAGCTCATTACCATGTCACGTCTAACACAAACTCATCTGCAAAGACAGAGGAGTCTGGTGGGATAAATTATCACTGGAAGGTCTTCATGTGATCGCAAGTCGGACAGGCATTGTGAATGTGAAATTGAGTATAAAGTAATTTATATAAGGTCTTTTGGTCTTCATCGTCAAGAAGGACTTTCTAAAAGTTGTCGATGGGCAGGGATTAAAATCAAAATTCAATTGCTTACTTGGTGATATCAGACTAGGAGAGAACTTGCACTGAACTATTGTATTCAAAGCACAAGAAGCCGATATTTTACGCGTAACATAGGAGCTAGCATCTCAATTGCCTGTCTTTACTTATCTTAATTCATCTGTGGGATATAGAATTTCACACCCATATTTGGACCACTTTTTCCAGTACAAAATACCAATTAATTTAATTATAAAAACGAAGATAGAAAATAGCTTATTCTTTGTTTTGAAAGGCATAAAAATCGTGATCGACACAAGCAGATTCTTCTAATTCTTAAAATTTCTCAGATCGTTGTTTTGGTCAATCTTACAGTTTGATGAAGAAACTGGTTTGGCAAAGCTACATGTCAGAGAGCAAAGCTGATGGCAGCGCACTATCTTAAGGGGTTTGCTCCATGACAATTGTCTAGTTGACCCCGTATTCTATCACCCGGTCATGATAGTGAAAATGGCGACGCTTCATTGCGTGACGACTTATAATATACTGCTATATCATCTGAGGTCTCAGCGAACCTCATATTTTGTGTTTCTTGGGTTTTATCATTTTAAGTAGAGCTCTCATTTCCCAAGACTTTGAAGATACGACCCGGAAAGTGCAGTTTAATAAAGCATTTTGTCGCTAACAAATATAAAACGAGGGCAAAACACGTGTTTATTATGTCCTCCAGTAGAGGTTAGACACCTCGGAGTTCAGTAATAAATCTTAGCAGCCCATTCAACCTCCAAAAAACTCTGCGTGCTAATTTCTTCAGGAAGGCGCTGGACAAAAATTATTTTTAGGCTCTTCCCAGAGTCCGTTAGAAATATGGGGTCGAAAAGGCTTAGCCTCAGTGTATTATGTCAGTTTATAATCGGCACCACAAAATAAGCGCTTCACCTAACAACACACGGAGTAGTTATGATCCAAACATCAAGGTCAGCGGTCGCTACTGTGCTCTAACGAGGACACATCAGTATTAAATATTAAAAACCAAATTCATCGTAAAGGGAAAAGATGACTGCTTACAGAGACTTCTTCCACGCGATCGGTAATGAAAATGTCCTGCAGGTCCTCTTGGGCTTGCTCCAGCCAGTTATTGAAAGGCTGAGGGACAAGGCGGAAAATAAATGCGTTATCTGAAAATGTCTTGGATGGGTAAAGGGCAAGCAGGGCATTAAAAAATCCCAAAATCAATGAGTTAGGCTAAGGTTACGCGAAGGTAGCGCCACTTTTGCTTCTCCGTCCAGTTTTCCGTGCGCGCAAGTCTCACGCTTAGCAACATTCGACCAACTATTGGGGTATTCTACAAACACAAAGTGGACTCCGATCGCCACCTTCAGTGGCCTGAAGTTTCAAATTTTCTCTCGAACCCCTCATCAAAGGGGCATGCGCCACTGTCACTTCCAACTGCATTCAACTTCAACTGTATTTTCTTTCTCAGTCACCGTTTTTTTAGCCCTTTGTGTCATCTTTTTACTTTTGCCAGCGAAAAAGGAAACTTCATTTGGTTGCGCGACCGTGTGCGTACTATAAATACTACACTTCTTGTGCCTCCAGTACCCCTCATCGGCAACCGTCCCTGATGATCGATTCGAGTGAGAAGTCGAAACGGCAGGTCAGTAAACTTCATGTTCCAGCAATTGTATCTTTTTCTTCCAAACTGCTTCCTCTTATCTTAAATTGGCAATAAAGTGGGCTACTTAAAGGTAGCTGTCCGATTTCAGCAAGAAAAATGAGGTTCAGTTTTGCGATTTGTTCATTAAATTTTTTTATATACATTTCCTAAAGCCAAAATGAAACTCTAAATTGCCGTCAAATAGTTCACTTCTGAAATATTAAATGACTACCTCAGAAAAAGCTCTACATGAGCAGTCAACATTGGTTATTCTCGATTCTCTGGTCAGCTTCTCAGACAGTACCCGAACTTTAATGGAGGAGGACGTTAGTTCGCAATTTTGGGATCTTAATGTGAATGTCGGCAGACTAAGGTACAAGAATTCGTTTTGGACTGCTTACTGCTTAAACAGTGCACAAATCCATATGAGAAATGTCCTCTAACACGGCAAAAAAGTATTCATTCTTTAGGCTCGACTTACAGCAACTCGCCGTGCGTACGACTGTTGGAGACTGTCAATTTTTTCAAGTACATCCAGTCGTTTCTAAAAGGAGGGAGAAAAAGGAAAACATTTCTAAGACCTCTTAACAAAATCAGATTATGGCAGAACTTCATGGGGTTACATTTTAATTATTTTCTGGTTTTCATTCTCCTATCTAAAATTTTTGCGCTGAAGGGTCTGAGAATAATTTGTTCGGTGGCTCTTCCACCAAGGACCAAATGGCGCTTAACTGTAAACAAAAGGCAAAGCGGTCCTAGAAATCTAAAGATAGAACTGAATTCGAACGGTGTGGGAGTATGTACATCACCCCATAAAATTATTCTTGGAGAAATCGGATTAATATGGCGTCGGAGGATAGCCCTGTTCCGAGGGACGTGACATTTAATTACATGAAATGATATACCCCGATAATTAATTAAGGGAATTCGTAGTTTAAGTTCATGCTATTGCCGGCAGAGCAGGGAGAT